CACTACGCCATGAAAATCCTGCGCAAGGACGTGATTATTGCCAAGGTGGGACCCCAAAACCTCCATTTGGGATGGGATCGGGAATTCTGACCCGAAAATCGGGAATGGGAATGGGAATGGGATCGGGAATGGGAATGGGAATGGGACGGATCGGGGTTACCCCACTACGCCATGAAAATCCTGCGCAAGGACGTGATCATCGCCAAGGTGGGATTGGGATCGGGAATTCTGACCCCAAAACCTCCATTTGGGATAGGTTAGGGTTAGGGTTAGGGGTTAGGGTTAGGGTTAGGGTTAGGGGTTAGGGTTAGGGTTAGGGTTAGGGGTTAGGGTTAGGGTTAGGGTTAGGGTTAGGGTTACCCCACTACGCCATGAAAATCCTGCGCAAGGACGTGATCATCGCCAAGGCCGAAACCCAAAACATCCATTTGGGATCGGGAATTCTGACCCCAAAATCGGGATTGGGAATGGGATCGGGAATGGGAATGGGAATGGATTGGGGTTACCCCACTACGCCATGAAAATTCTGCGCAAGGATGTGATCATCGCCAAGGTGGGATTGGGAATGGGAATTCTGACCCCAAAATCGGGAATGGGAATGGGAATGGGAATGGGAATGGGATCGGGAATTCTGACCCGAAAACCTCCACTTGGGATAGGTTAGGGTTAGGGTTAGGGTTAGGGTTAGGGTTAGGGTTAGGGTTAGGGTTAGGGTTTGGGTTAGGGTTAGGGTTAGGATTGGGGGAATTTTGGGGGAATTTGGGTTTTTTGAGATGGAATTGGGGGACTTTTGTGGATTTTCACTCRAATTTGGAGTATTTTGGGTGGAATTTGGGATTTTTTGTTTTAGGGTATTCAGGGTTAGGCCTAGCGTTAGGGTTAGGACAATTTTGTGCGAATTTGGGAATTTGGGGTGGAATTTTGAAAATTTTGGGAAGTTTTGGAGTAATTTGGGATTTTTGGGGTGGAATTTTGGGATTTTGGGTGGAATTTTGGGGATTTTGGGTCAGGGTTTGGTCAGGGTTAGGGTTAGGTTTAGGGTTGGTTTTAGGGTATGGTCTAGGGTTGGGACTTGGGCAACTTTGGGGAAATTTGGGATTTTTGGGGTTAAATTTTGGGGATTTTTAGTGATTTTGGCTGGAATTTGGGGGTTTTGGATTGAATTTGGGGGATTTTGGGTCAGGGTTTGGTCAGGGTTGGGTTACGGTTAGGGTTAGGTTTAAGGTAAGGCCTAGGGTTAGGATTAGGTGACTTTGGGGGGCATTTGTGATTTTTGGGAGGGAATTTGGGGGATTTTTGATGATTTTGGCTGGAATTTGGGGGTTTTGGATTGAATTTGGGGGATTTTGGGTCAGGGTGTAGTTAGGCCTAGGGTTGCGCTTAGGGTTAGGGTTAGGGTTAGGGTTAGGGTTAGGGTTAGGGTTAGGGTTAGGTCTAGGATTAGGTCTAGGCTTTGGATTGGGAAAATTTTGGGGGAATTTGGGGTTTTTGAGATGGAATTTGGGGACTTTTGTGGATTTTCACTCGAATTTGGAGTATTTTGGGTGGAATTTGGGATGTTTTGTGTTAGGGTTTTTAGGGACCGGCCTAGGGTTAGGGTTATGACAATTTTGTGCAAATTTGGGATTTTTTGGGGCAATTTGGAAAATTTTGGGAAGTTTTGGAGTAATTTGGGATTTTTGGGGTGGAATTTTTGGGTTTTGGGTGGAATTTGGGGGATTTTGTGTCAGGGTTTGGTCAGGGTTGGGTTAGGGTTTGGGTTAGGGTTAGGGTTAGGGTTAGGGTTAGGGTTAGGGTTAGGGTTAGGGTTAGGGTTAGGTCTAGGGTTAGGGTTAGGCCTAGGGTTAGGCCTAGGGTTAGGTTTAGGGGAATTTTGGGGGAATTTGGAGTTTTTGAGATGGAATTTGGGGACTTCTGTGGATTTTCACTCGAATTTGGAGTATTTTGGGTGGGATTTTGGATGTTTTGTGTTAGGGTTTTTAGGGACCGGCCTAGGGTTAGGGTTATGACAATTTTGTGCAAATTTGGGATTTTTGGGAGGGAATTTGAGGGGTTTTGGGAATTTTCACTGAAATTTCCTGTATTTTGGTTGGAATTTGGGGGATTTTGGGTGGAATTTGGTGGGTTTTTTGGTGAAATTTGGGGGATTTTCAGTCAGGATTGAGTTTGGGTTAGGAGTAGGGTTAGGGTTAGGGTTAGGTGAATTTTGGGCGAATTTGGGATTTATTGGGAGGGAATTTGGGCGATTTTGGTGATTTTTACTGGAATTTGTTGTATTTTGTGTGCAATTTCGGGGATTTTAAGGTCAGGGTTTTGTTAGGGTTAGGGTTCAGGTTAGGATTAGGTTTAGGGTTAGGGTTAGGCTTAGGGTTACCCCACTGCACCATGAAAATCCTGCACAAGGACGTGATCATTGCCAAGGTGGGACCCCAAAACCTCCCTTTGGGATCGGGAATTCTGACCCCAAAATCGGGAATTCTGACCCCAAAACCTCCATTTGGGATCGGGATTGGGAATGGGGCAGTTTGAGGTGGAAACGGGCATTTCCAGGGTATTTTGGGGTGGGAAAAAAACGATTTCTGGATCATTCTGTGGTTGAAAAAACCCATTTCCATCATATTTTGGGGTCAAAGAAAGCACTTCTGGGGTATTTGGGGGTGAAAAGATGCATTTATGGGTGATTTTGGGGTGATTTTGGTGTTAAAAAAGGCATTTCTGGGGTATTTTGGGGTTAAAAATGGCATTCTGGGTGATTTTGGGGTTAAAAAAGGCGTTTCTGGGTGGTTTCTGGGTTATTTTGGGGTAAAAAATGGCATTTCTGGGTGATTTTGGGGTTAAAAAAGGCGTTTCTGGGTGATTTTGGGGTGAAAAAGGGC